TCTATCTATCTATCTATCTATCTATCTATCTATCTATCTATCTATCTATCTATCTTATCTCTACCCCAAACCACCACCGCTGTGCTCTCATTCTCAAACAATGTTCCACCTTTAGAATTAAACATCCGTCTTAGTACAAAGAAGCTAAACTGTCTCTTTGGCTTTCAGATATTGCAGTCCAGACACCGTTTTCTACTTTACAATTTCACAAGAGTACTCTTCTATATTTTGTCCCTCTCTAGGGGGGTTCACTTAAAAGTGTGTGTCATCGTTCATAAACCAGGCGCTCGACGTCAAAGCAATACAATCAAATAAACCAACATTTTCCGCCCGTTGTGCAATTTTTATGGAGAATTCTTTGTTTGTTTCAGACTCAACACCTTCTATATTCTTTTAAAACAATATTTCTAGGTTGATTTATTTTACTGAAAAACTTTGATCAAAGGCACGCAAACGAATTGAAACAGTTTTCAAGCTCTTAACAGATTCGAAAGTCACCAAACTTTCTTGACCATTTTCTGGCTAATTTTTCCTCGGACGGCGGGCGATCCCTACCATCTTGGCTTCTATTGAAGGTAAAAGGATATTATTTTTTTTCAAAAGAGTGGAAAATGAAAAGACTTTAACTCCATCTGCCCAAGATTTGACGAGCGTCTGATACCATCGCGTTGTGCCGCTCTGGACGACCACCGAGACAATCTCCGTGTCATATCAACATCGGAACACCTCTCATATCAGTCACAAAACTCATTCTAGAGGTCCATTTATTATTCTCTGTACATTTACCATAATAATTTTTATTTCCATACCCACTTTGCTTTCGGGAGTAAGGCAGATCATTTTTAGGTAAATTAATTTTTTATCCCTTGTTCACAAAAGTAGGGCAAGCGCAAATAGACAATTATCACAGTTCGGTGTCTCCGGGGAGGGTGGCTTGCCTCAAAGCGGAAAGGCATTTAGTTCGGGCTTTTAACTCTTCATGTGCTATTCGCCGGTATATCAAGGCTTTTCTCCATTCCGTTTGACTCTGTGGTTGTTGTTCGCGTTATGAAAAGAGTTAATTTTTGTTAGTTAAGGAGGTCAGTTTTCCCTGCAGGCCTACACATTGATGATGATAATAATAATAATAATGTACGAACAAAAACTAAATATTTTTAAAAAAGTACACCTCCCACCCTTTTCAGATTTGCTTGCAATTGATGCTTTATGTATCCTTCGATATGATAATTCAGGAGGCGGGTTTCTTGGACCATACTGACAAATGAAAAAAACCCCTCGGTGAATTAACTTCCGCGCTTGAGGATAGAATTCGGGTTAAAATGCATCTTATCGTATCCTATCTTATTTTATCTTTTCCTATTGATCTTTTGTGGTCTTATTTTATATTGAAATGAAGTTTGGATAAACGAGGACGTTGAACGGACATGACGCCAACAGAACTGGACTGATAATGTGCCTATATTATAGAGAAAAGAAAGAAACAGAGGGAGAGTGAGAAAAAGAAACAGAGTGAGAGTGAGGAAAAGAAAGCACGAGAGAGAGAGAGAGAGAGAGAGAGAGAGAGAGAGAGAGAGAGAGAGAGAG